TATATATATATATATATATATATATATATATATATATATATATATATATATATATATATATATATATATATACACATTTTCGCCTATTTATGCACATATATAGTCATACATACATACATATATTACATTTCCTTGCATTTTCTGCGCCGAGATGCGCGTGTCATGAGTTATGAATAGAGAAGAGCCTTTTTATTCCGAAGTCTTTTTTATCAACGAAATTATCTTTAAGTTTTCTGATTAGCTGATAAGTACATTTGGACCCGTATTAATGATTCTTATACTTGAAACTTGTTTCAAGACAAATTTGAATTCAGAAGCTGTATTCTGTAATACGCATATGTGCGCATTTATCTATAGTTCATGTTACGTATATTGTAAAAAATATATGCATATGTGTGTTACGGAACGCAACCAGTTAGATAATAGTTTTTTAGTTCAATTATGATTGCAATATAAATGTATAGTACAATTCAACAAAAATACTGGAATCTAACTTTGCAAAACTAAAAATCTAAGTATCTCGCATGAGACGAGTAAGTTTCAAGGTCCTTATTCTTGAAATAGTTGCGTATAAGTAAGTTTTATTGCGCAGTTTAATCATATCATAAAATAGCTGCGCAATAAAATTTACGTATACGCAACTATTTCAAGAATAGGGGCCCAGGTGATAACTAATGATACGGGTTTTAAGCCAGCGACATACGATGCTTGTTTTTGTGTTAGTTTGTTTGCTGGATGAAAGTACTCTGTTCTAATTGGTGCATTTCTGAAGATGAATGGAAATGCATTAATCAAAATAAAGTATTTTCATCCAGCAAGCAATCCAACACAAAAACAAGCACCGTGTGCTGCTGGCTTTATATCTTTTTTAGTAATGCCGATTAAACCTGAAGTAAGAAATTGACAAATCACAGTTGATTATTTTTCTTACATTTGATATTTTAATATTTTATATTTGATATTTTGATGCCGATTGGTCAATTTCTTACAGCTTCAAGCTTAATACTTATCCCCTTTCTACATTAGGTGATTTAAGCGTAAGCCTCAAAAACTAACCAATCATAGTCGATTATTCTCCTCAAATTTGACTGTGATTGGTTAGTTTTTAAAGCTTAATACTTAAATCACCTAATGCAGATGAGGGGTTAAGGTCGATATTCATAGTCAGACTTTATATTTAAGACCGTCTTAAGTTTAGATGATATACAGATCATTTCATTGGCTACGGAGTATTTGAAGATGAACTTAGGACAGTTTTAAATATCAGACCGAACTATAAATACCGGCCTAAGTATTATGATTTAAGTTCTCATTATAGACCCCGCTTTAGCGATAAACTTGCAGAAATTCCAATGACGAGCTAGAAGATCTTTGAACGAATCTCACCGACGCCTCGCACAGTGTTTGAATGCGTTTGAGAACACGTGTGAACCGCGCCTGCGCGAGTGCAGCGCGCTCGCGCCTGCGTCGTGCGCGTCGCGGTACCACGGAGCGCACAGCGTCAATAATGTCAATACTGTCCGCGGCAGTGGTGGTCGCCCTGCGAGCTCGGATTTTCGTGGGTGCGTGTCGTACGTACTACGCGCAACGCGTATGATGCTGTAAACGGCAACGGGAAGACAACTTTTCTAAGTGGTACGTTCTTCGCGATGTGTGAGACCTTCTGACGACGACGACAACAACGATTACTTCACGCGGGCGGGGCGGGCGAACGAACGAACGAGCGAGAGCCAACCTTCGCCTTTTCTTCTCTCTTTCTCTCTCTCTCACTCTCTTGCTGCCCGTATTTTTCTCTTTCGCGCATACGTGTGCCGCGTACCCCAGCGTAGGGAACGTCTCGTGTGCGCGCGGGGGGCTCGCGGCCGACTTGAGAAAAAGTGCAGACACTACACGGGCGTGGGGAACTTGTCGACAGTGTGTTTCTCCAACCCAAAACGTGATCGTGCCACGAGCCTCGGAGACGACAGTCTCCCGGGCGTATACATGAAGGAGCAAGATATACCAGAATATTTGGAGGGTTGTGGTCTCGCCACCTGCACGATCGCCGACATGCCCGAAGAGACGGAGACATTGCGCGACGCTAAAGATCAGCCAACCAACAAGGACAAGAAGCTGATGGCCACCTCTATCGGCGGCGGTTGCACGGGCGGTACAGGCGGTGCGGGTAGCGGTGCGGGTAGCGGTGGCAGCGGTGCAGATACGAAGAAGATTGTGACGGTGAAGCACCCCGAATCGAACAAGCCGAAGCCCACGACGAAGAAAGGCAAGCCGATCCAAGCTGACTTGGATGTGGCGAAGGCGTTCGTCCGATGCCGCGAAGAGTGTATGCGACGGCTGGACCTCAGCAAAGCCAACATCACGAATCTGCCGAGCTCTGTGCGCGAACTCACGCACCTGAGGGAATTCTACCTGTACGGGAACAAACTGGCGAGCCTGCCGCCCGAGATCGGCTGTCTGACTAATCTCGAGACGCTGGCGCTGAATGAGAACTCATTGACCAGCTTGCCGAACACCTTAGAGAACCTCAAGTCCCTGCGCGTGTTGGACCTCAGGCACAATAAAATGAACGAAATCCCCGACGTCGTGTACAAACTTACCTCACTCACCACCCTTTTCATGCGCTTCAACCGGGTCCGTTACGTGAGCGACAGCATTCGAAATCTGACGAATCTGACGATATTGAGCTTACGCGAGAACAAAATCAAAGAACTGCCCGCGGGAATAGGCGACTTGGTGAACCTCTTGACGTTCGACGTGTCCCACAACCACCTGGAACATTTGCCTGAAGAGATCGGCAAATGTATCCAATTGTCGACATTGGACCTGCAGCACAATGATCTGCTCGATATTCCCGACACGATCGGCAACCTCGTCTCGCTGACGCGTCTCGGGCTGCGCTACAACGGGCTCTCGAACATTCCGCAGTCGTTGGCGAACTGCAAGTCGATGGACGAGTTCAGTGTCGAGGGTAATCACGTGTCGCAGTTGCCGGACGGTCTGCTGTCCAGCCTGTCGAACTTAACAACGATCACGCTGTCGCGCAACAGTTTCACCGCGTACCCCGCGGGCGGCCCGTCGCAGTTCACCAATGTCTACTCCATCAACATGGAGCAGAATCAGATCGACAAGATACCGTACGGCATCTTCTCACGCGCGAAAAATCTGACCAAGCTCAACATGAAGGAGAATCAGCTGACTGCGCTGCCGCTGGACATCGGCGCGTGGGTCAACATGGTCGAGCTGAATTTAGGGACGAATCAGTTGACGAAAATACCCGACGACATACAGTGCCTGCAGAACCTTGAGGTGCTGATACTGTCGAACAATCTGCTGAAGCGCATACCGGCCAGCATAGCGAATCTGCGCAAGCTGCGGCTGCTCGATCTCGAGGAGAACAGGCTCGACTCGCTGCCGAACGAGATCGGCTTCCTGCGCGAGCTGCAGCAGCTGGTGCTGCAGTCGAACCAGCTGACGACGCTGCCGCGCGCGATCGGCCACCTCACGAACCTCACCAACTTCAGCGTCGGCGAGAACAACCTCAATTACCTGCCCGAGGAGATCGGCACGCTGGAGAATCTGCAGGCGCTCTACATCAACGACAACGCGAATCTACACAACCTGCCGTTCGAGCTGGCGCTCTGCTCCAAGCTGATCGTCATGTCGATCGAGAACTGCCCGTTGTCGCAAATACCGCCGGAGATCGTCGCCGGCGGGCCCTCCTTGGTGATACAGTTCCTCAAGATGCAGGGCCCGTACCGGTCGATGTAACGAAGTCGCCGGACGACTCCCCGAGACTCGCCCTTCCTCAGATCCCGATGCGGCCCATGTGTCCCGTGTCACACGGATGTCGACTCGTGAGGCTCCTGGGCATTGTGTAACTCTTTTCACGTGAACTCAATCTTGTCGATTGTGTCATTATTTTTCCCGCTGAAATCATGAGAAGTGTAGAATTTTCGTAGTAAAGGAAAGTACCAATGCCGGGACGTTCTTATGGTTTTTCTTTGAATATAAATATTTGAACTTATAGGATAATCCGAGTTACTTCTCGAATAAAAACCTACGCAAAACAGCGTGCGTCGGAATTATCCTTTGCTTAATATTTAAACTCAACAGAAGACATATATGCAAGTATTGAGTATATACATTTTTTCTATATTTTGAAAGTTTAAATATTCGTATTTGAAGACTAAAACAATAGGAATGTCCAGGACTGGGTACATATCCGGAAATTGGTATCTTACTTGGAGGCGATTATGAATCTCTTCCTCCAATGTAAATTCGTGAAATATGAACATTTCCATACGTTTTCAAAGTTAGACTTTTCATTTTTCGTGAGTTTATGCGGGAGAAAAGATTCATGATTTGCCCCCTGGATCGATCATGTAACTTCCTCTTAGGAGTCTTCAAATGAAAAATGAAAAGTTTCACATTTACATTGTTTGAAAAGTTGCATTGATCGCGCGCTGAAGTCGTGAAGTTCGCAATTGAACTTTTCACTTGTCACGAATTGGCGCTAGGGGAAAAGATACATGATCGATATCTTGATCCCTCGCTGTGACCATAGGTCTGTTCATTCTATGTAAAGCCTGGAGTCAAATATTGAAGAACAGACTTCATCTTAATTGATCACGTCAGAAGCAAAGCAATGCATGCCCAAAATTCTTGCAAAGTAGTATGTCGAAATATGAAGGTATTCTTAAAGAAATAAAATGGCAGCTGCAATCGATTAAGCACATCCCCTAAAATTCATGTGATACGTTTCCTTTTTAACCTACATTTCTCCGTGATCTTGTCACGTTCATTTTACGGTTATTTATTCATTGTTAGAATAAAAGGAAAATACTCAGACTATCTTAAAAGTGTGCTTAATCGATCGCAAGTGCCATTTTTTGGATGTATCTATTTAATTCGACGTAGTGTGTAGAAATTTTGGGCATGCATTTCTGACGTCATCAATCAAGATGGCGGCGAGCAGCCAGGAGCCTTAATGCCGAGACGGTGACTGAGGGCCGCTCCAGAGTAATGACGACGCTAGAGGAGGGAGCTTTTGTACGGATCAAATCTGTCGACTTAAATTCTCGCTCTAATGATCTCACTCTCTTCGAGAGAACGCGCCAGACGTTACGAGCGCAAGAAATGTCACGCGCTGTATGTAAAACGAGCGAAACATTTCTCGCTTCCTAGGCAAGAGGCAGAAGACGTGCTTCTCTCTGCAGGAAAGACAGATTAGTATGTGTAATATGTATAAACATATAAATATGAATAAATAAACAGGTAAATAAATATATTGATATATCTATTTGTGAGATATAAATATAGTTATATTTGCGAAATATAAATATATTTATATTTCTGTTGTGAGATATAAATGAGTAAATATATAAATATATTTATTTATATACAAACACACTTATACGTGCACATGAACTTGGTGCTATATCGGGTATTTTTCTCGCGGACAGAGAAGGAGATTAGAGCTTGTGCAATTCTCTAAGGTACTTTAAGCATCTCGGCGCAGTGACATGTAACTTCAGCGTCGCAAATTACGGAAGAAGCCGATATAGACTATATTTATACAACTGTATTTGTATTCTTAGTTCATGTTGTATTTATGTGCTTTGTTTGAGGTATGACTATTGCTAATGGCATTCGGGCATGGCATCTGAAGAAACTGCACGTTGTACACGACAGAAAAGTGAAGTCTGGATGATGCGACATATTTGGTTTTCATGAAGCTGAATAGCATTTCTGGTTATCATAACGAGATATTTTCTGATATATAAGCGGAATATTTTGAAGTAATACTGGCCAGAGTTTGATTAATGTGTCTGTGTATGTATATGTATATATATGTATGTATGTATGTATGTATAAATACATATATTATATATATATAAAAATTATATATATATATATAAACCATATGTAATATATATATATATATATATATATATATATAAACATATAACATATATATGTATATAAATTATATATATATAAATGTGTGTGTATGTGTGTCCAGAAGTCTTGGGCTCAAATACCATCAGAATATAAAGATGAGTTTTTCAAATATAATATTGAATCAGTTAAATAACAAATTTCAAATAAAATAATTATACATCAACACTTTAAGAAAAAAATTGTCAGTTAAATTTGTAAAAAGAAAGAATATGGATACAATTTTATTACGCATTATATACGTAAATATATGTAACCAAATTCATTTGGTTGCATTAACCAAAATTATGGGCCGTTCAGAATCCACCAAACAGTCTGTGACTTATATACTTCCAGATTTCAGATTAATTCAACCAAACTTTCTTTTCTGTGTGCAGTATGTTTTTGCATGATGCAGTAATAGTGAAACGAATTTTTCTTCTATTTCAACGTGAAAATTCTAAATTGTACATGAACACGTTAGATTCATGAAAAATTGTCACATCTTTTTTTCTTTCTTACTGTTGCGTCGAAATATTTGATATTGGAAAGGAATAGATTTTTTGAGACATTGCTGTGAATTTAAAAGAACTGCGAATTGCAATTCTTTATGTGCGTGCACGGAAGAAAATATTACAGATATAACGATGAGAAATATCGTGAGAAATATTTTAACGCATTTCCTGCGAGAATTATCTTCGGGTTTAGTGAAACTAAACTCGACGGGTTCCACGGAGTTCAACGTTTCATCTATTTGGCGAAGTAAACGCCAACTAAGCATAGCTTACGAGTTTTTTAAGCTGTACAATTAAGTTGTAATTTCTTTTACAATGGAACAACAAAATTACGCAGACATAGAACGTATCATTTGCAAAGGAACATAAAAAACGTCCTGTTTACTCTATGTGTATACATATATAAGTACAAAGAAATGTGCGAGATAAGATCTTTAACGTAGTAATCAATTATAAAGAGCAGTAAAAAGAAAAAAACAAATGTTGAAAATCGGCATCGATGATATTGTTCATTGTATTAATAGAATGTTGAGATGTACTTTATATAATTGTATGAGAGAGAAGAAAGAAATAATATTTTATTAAAATATTAAATCGAGAATTTGTGAATATGCGAATACACAGAACAAACATCGATACGCATCAATTTCCATCCTGCGGATGTTGTACGCAGTGCATGGTTTCCTTTCTTTTTCTTATGTGCTCGTCGATGTGTATGTGTGTGTGTCGCTTTGTGAAACAGAATACACCGTCGCCGATCCAAGATTGAAGATCCAAGTACTATGGAAAGCCACTAAAAGATAAAACTGTAGCTACTCATCCAATTCAGCGAGCTGTATTCTGAGGCTTGAATTTAACGCTGCATAAGCGTTTCCATTTATCGTTATGCCGATAAATTCAAGGATCAATATGAAACATATGTATATATATATATATATATATATATGTATGTGTATATATATATATATGCATGTGTATATATATGTATATATATGTGTATATATACACACACATATATATATATATATATATATATATATATATATATATATATATATATATATATATACACACATATATATGTGTACACTTAACACACCTGTGAAAGTAAGAATTATACAGAGACAGAAAATAATCTACGAGATAACACGCTGTGTGTGTACGCGCGATATCGTGTTAAATTTAGATTGACTTTTGTTACGTAATTTGCAATAATTAGCGACGACTGTGTGTACTTCATCGAAATTCACGTGATAGAGCAAGAAATGGTGGTGAGCTCCATGTGCAATTATATTCCTACGAAGTGACACGGAAGATCACGTTAATCAGCAACTACGTTTAAATTAGATTAATGTATATATACGGATATACACACGGTGAAAAAAGGCAAAGCAAAAGATGTAATTACGTGTTTGAGTCCATGTTGCGGTTTACGAGAGAGCCATGTCAGATAAGTCGTTGAAACCGGTGATACGTATACGGTGAAAAAAACAACGCGACGTATTTTATAATACGCGACCAGTATTTTATAATACTGGTGGAAAGAGAAAATAATGACATTCTGCTGTTTTGTTTAACGTGACGATATAACTTGCAGTTATGACGAATTAAAGCAATGAAGCCACTATACCGTCTTAGAGTGTGCTTTCATTAGATTAAAGAGGTTGCGCTGCCAAATGTAAGCATAAAGAAAAAAAAATAGGAAACAAATTGAACAAAGAAATGGAGATGAACACATTGAGCACTCTCTTGAGATTATATTTTGCTAAGTTCCATAAAGCAATGAATTTTTTCCCCACTACATCTCACCTTTCTCTCTCTCTCTCTCTCTCTCTCTCTCTCTCTCTCTCT